AATCTGAGAGGTGTGGTTACTGATATCCAAACGTTTATCATTCGAAAATATCTTCAAATCAGTTAGTGATCTTTTCCAACAGTTGCGCAAGTGAACCTGCAATTAGACAACAAAAAGTTGACTTCGCACTGGTTAACTTGTTGGTTGCACGACCCCATGTCGAAGTATCAGAATATTGTGAACAAAACAGAGCCTTCTGTAGCTAGGAACTAAAGTCGCTGCATAGCCATTAACTCGTACTGTTCGTATCACGGACATGGAGAGGGCGTGTCCACGGGCCTTGCTACGTGTATCTGCTACTCCTCTACGGATAGTTTCCTTTCCAGCTTGAGTTAGGATTTCTCTATAGATCTTTGCGCTGCTCTGGGCGCTCTCTTGTGCACAAGATGTCTATGACTCTGCAAGGGCACGGTAATATGTTGGTGCTCCGTGGTACAGCTATGTTCGCGGACACGCCCACTCCCCCCCCCCCCAGTGCTGTTATATGTAATTTTTGCTTGAACGAACACCAGACGATCACCGGCAAGAAGTTAAGCAATGTTTACTTCCAGTCAAGAAAAAGCACGACAGTATGACTAAGAAAAAGCACGAGAATAGGGCACGACATCTACTGTATTCTTCAATTTGCTCATGCGTCTGATAGATCACATTTTCACCTCTGGAAGGGATGGTTTAAATTTCTCAAATTCTATACTCATCGCTAGTAGTTTTTCAGAAGTAGACTTTGACTTTTTAATGGATAATCTTTGATACGTTACTTCATTGGTTATTGCTCTACCATCCGTGATCATCTCCCCTGCCTAGACACACACATACAGGGGGAGGGAGTGGAAAAAAAGTTCCCGTTTTGCTAAATCTGATTGGACATTTCCACCACCAAATTCAACAACACATTGTACACTATCACGAAACTCCGCCACAGCCTTCTGGACGAGCGCCATCGAGAGATTCTGCCACGCGACCGTGATTCGGTGCCTGAGTTCAGCGAGGTCGTTGATTTCTCCGCCACTGTAGACCACCCTGTTGAGCTCCGCCCGAACCCAGGTAATTGAGAAATGTGCTTGCTGAATATGGGCCCCTTCTGAGCGTGAAGAAGATGCACGTTGCTGAGCTCCGAGATTGCCCCACTGAACCCATCGTAGATGCCACGCAAAAGCATCGGAGTTCGCTGAGCGAATATCCAGTACTGGGAGCGTCCATGCACCCGTGTTAGCGTGGGTCAGTATGAAGTCCCTGGATGAAGTGGAGGGGGTGTTGACAGGCATGGGATAATCAAAGGCACGCCCGCTTTCTTTGATTTCGTACGCCCTCTCTGAATATCGTACCTTTTGTCGACAAGGAGTGGGACGATTACTAAGTCGCCATGCTCAAGAATACGGGAGATGCGCGCCACCCGCTATGTGAAGGGATACCGCCCCGCCACTGGTTGCTATAACTGCTTTGGGGCTCAGCCTTCAAGGTTTAGCCCCGCTTTTCAAGAATAATGATTACGGAAATCAATATAACACGTGATCAGTAGTGAAGAAAAAAAGCCAAACAAAATCATATGGAAAATGCATCATTTAGAACCTTAGCTGGCTAAGGTGGACGGGCCCGCCGACAATTCACAAGCAAACCGGCGCTATACGTATCTGCTTTTTGAAGATGCTAAAGGCAATACTACTGCATCCTCATCACCTGTATCACCTGTATCACCTGTGCTCCCGTTGATCATCGAGTTCCTCGAGCGGGCGCCAGTAACGTCTCCATTCGTCCCTGCAACGTGCAAGAGTTGCCCAATGAACTCTCTCAGCTCGAGGGACACGATGAACTTCATACCATTCGTTCAAGCTTTCACGAAGAATGCTGACCATCGCTTTAGGCGGTCTTATCCAGTGCGTTCGCTACATCCCGTGGAATCCAGTCGGTGATTGCTCTGGTCCAGCGGTCGTCCTCGAAACGCATGACGTGTCCGGCCCACCTGATCTTCGAAGCCTTGGCAAATGCGGCGGCGTCTCTGATCTTCGATCGTTGGCGGAGTGCGGAGCTCCGGATTCCCTCTCTCACTTGCGTGTAGCGGGAAACTCCGAGCATCGCCCTTTCGATGGCGCGTTGAATAACACCGACCGCATGCTCATCCTGCTTTCGTAGAGTCCAAGTCTCTGAGGCGTACGTCAAGGCAGGAAGGACCGCGGAATCGAAGAGGTGGGCACGGAGCTTGGTGTTCTTCGTCTTCTTCGCTACTCCCTCGATGTTCTTGAAGGCTCCCCAAGCCGCTCGCTTCCTCCTGCTCAGCTCTGGAGCTAGGTCATTCATCATATTGATTTCACGACCTAGGTACACATAGCTAGAGCATTCAGAGATGGTCGTTCCGTTGAGCGTGAATGGGGCATCAGATACCAATCCGTTTCTCATGAACATCGTCTTCGTTAGGTTCAGCCGTAGACCGATTCTTCCACACGCGCAGTCGAATTCAGCCAGCATTCGTTCCGCTTGCTCGATGTTTGGCGTTATCAAAACGATGTCGTCAGCAAAGCGGAGATGGTGTTGCCGACCGTCGATCTTCACTCCCATGTCTTCCCATTCCAGTTGACGCATGACGTTCTCGAGAGAGGCGCTGAAGAGCTTGGGCGAACTTGGTGTGTCGCTGACCCTCTCTTCACATCAATGATGATCTCCTTGTAGAATGGTGAAATCTTGGTCGTGAAGTTGCTGTAGAGCTCACGAAGAATCCTGATGTACTGAGTAGGAATACCCTGGTTGCCCAGGGCTTCGATAACCGCTTCTGTCTCAACGGAGTCGAAGGCTTTCTTCAAGTCGATAAACGTGAGACATAACGGCATCTTGTACTCTCGCGATACTTCAATGAGCTTCGTTACCGTGTGGATGTGATCGATCGTGCTGAATCCTCTTCGAAACCCTGCTTGCTCGCATGGCTGTCCTTCGTCTAGTGTTCTGCCAATCCGGATTTCAGAATGATCAGTCGACGACCGAAAAATTTGTAGACTACAGGACAGCACGCAGATTGGGCGATATGCAATCTCCTAAGGTCTCCCTTCTTGTACAGCAACACAGTCTTGCTGGTTTTCCACGAGGTGGTACCTTGCATTCCGACAGGTAGCGCGTGAAGAGTCGAGCCAGAGTTTTGACGAGAACTGGCGGAAGATTCTTCAGATGTTCGGGTCTGATCGGGACCGGGTGCCGTACGATTTCTTCACCGACGAGATGGCGTGTCGGACTTCGGAAGAGAGAACTGCAGGAACGACATATCCATCCTGCTCCAAGCGGTATGGTTGCAGGTGGACGTGGCTGTCAAAGAGATCCGAGTAGAAGTCGTGGATGACCTTCTCCATTGCCCTTCTGGATGCGGTGATTGTTCCATCCGGACGTCGGAGGGCGGTCATCTTAGTCTTACAGTTGGCGAAGTCGCGGCGGGCGTTGCGTACGCTCTTCCCAGCCTCTGCGGCTTCCACCAGTACTGCTGCTCTTCTCTCCTTGAGGTCTTCCTTTATCGCTTCTCTGCATAGCTTCGCAAGCTCAGACGTCAGCTGGTAATTGCCTGCGGCTCGTGCGGCTCCACGTTGGCGAATCAGCTCGAGAGTTTCCAGAGATAGACGCTTCTTGGTAATCTTGGAACTCTCTGACTTCTTGGCGCAGTCGTGAAGATGTGCAACAAGCCTTTCGTATTCCTCGTCGATGTTGTCAATGACAGAATCCTCCCAGAGCCCAGCGAGAGAAGTGAAGTGATCCCAGTTGATGGTGGTCTTGGGGCTTCGCTTCTTGAACTTTGCGGCTCTCTCTCGCATCGAAGCGCGGAAGGAGACGATGGTCGGATCCCGTGTAGAACTTAGGGACAACAGCGACATCGGTCAGGCAAAACCTTCGATTGCAGATGATGTGGTCGATCTCGTTATGGAATTGTCCACCAGGAGACTCCCATGTCCAGCGTGTGGGTCGACATGATAAACTCAGACAGCCTTTCACCCTGCTCATTCCACTCCGTTCCGTGAGTTCCGATGTGAAGTTCTTCAGCCGTTCTTCTTGGTCCGATCTTAGCGTTGAAATCACCGACGATGACCTTGAAGAAGGTATGATCTTCCTTGTAGAACTTCTCATTCCATATAGAACGCTTCGAGCTCATCCTCGTCGTAGCTTGATGTTGGTGCGTAGGCGACGAAGATTGTCAAAGCTGGAGTTGAACCACATCTTCTCAATCGCAAACGTCCGATTCGGGTCGTCAGACTTTCGTACGAATCGATGTTCATGGCCAAGTGCGTGTTGACGAGGACGCCCACACCGCCAACGCCTCTGCTGTCGCATGTTCCGAGGAACAGTTCTTCTCCAGTCTCGTACACGGCGTGTAGCGGGCGATGCCTCCTCGTCTCGGTCAGTCCGATGACGTCGTACTTGATCTTCCTGGCTTGCAACATCAGATCTTCGATGTGAGCTTCCGATGCAAGTCCGTGCGTTGAAAGTACAGATCGTCATCCTAGTCCTGGGCGACTTAAATCTCCGTTGGCCCTGTGATTTTAGCAGCCTCGTCCGAGCGGTCCCAGCCGACGTCGCCCTGTCGGTGGTTCCCTCAGCTTCAGGGGAATGAGGCCCATAGTTGTTACTGTTTTCGGCGAGAAGAAAATTAACCACGCGTAGCTCGCCAGGCTCTGACGTGGCACCCTCCGCATTGGTACGTTTTTGGAACAGTCCAAAACCGTTCACCCCCACGCCACGATGAGGCTGCGGATAGGATTTGTGGGGGAATCCTCATACCGGAGGGCTATGATATCCAGGGAGGGCGCGGGAACATCAAATGAACGTGGGAGCTGGCTTTAAGTCTTCGCTCAGGGTTCCATGAGCAATGTACGCTAGAAGGGGCCCCTTGAAGGAAAGAAAAGTTATTCGTCCGGTAGTAAACCGATTTCGAAAGATGATCTTCCTACATGCATGAATGAGAATTCATAGTCGGCAGCACGAAAAGGGCTATTATCACTTTTGGTGCTTTCAGTACTTTGGACCTATTGCGGATGTTCAGCAAGTTCTCCGAAGGGAACCAACACGGAAGTATGCGTGTAAAAGTAAGCCCCCAACTGACTTATTTTTGTTACGCAGCTCTCTAGGTTTTGTGGTTTCAGTATATCTTTCTTGGCGACTATGTGGATCGTGGTCGTCGATCGCTTGAGTGCGTCTGTCTCGTACTAACCCTGAAAATACTGTTCCCTCGCAAGGTGAGTTCTGGTGGGACTAAATGGGACTCTTTACGGTTTAAAGCAGGTCAATCGAGTAGTGTCGGGATAGAAATTGCTCAAAGATCGGCCAAACCAAGAATACAAGAATCCTACAGCCAAGAAACCTCCAGCGATAAAGGAACTCGTCGGCCAAGTCACTCTCAGAACCGACTACCATGTTGGACACGTGCGGGTAATCAGGTCTCAAAATACTTCCAGGGAGGCCAATCTGCAACTTTGCGCCCTCCTATATTAGTAGTCTGCGCCTGCGAAAGGCGATGGGAGCAACTGGGTGGGTGACTGCGTACACTCCAAACTTTCATAAATGATAAATGGTGCTCCCGAATCCGCTCTCCCACCTTCCCACGAAAATTGGGGGCTATTGCGGTGCCAGTGCCGGAGAGACAATTGGACTCCTGGGCAAGAGCAGGTGTTCCATCAATAAAAAGGCAAAAAAAAAGCTCTCACAAGTCAGCAACATGCGCAGAACATCCCGTGTTACTACATAGGTCAATTCGCATAAAAACACCACAAGTCAAATGCGCTGCCCACTGATGAACAGTGAACGATCTGTTGTTATTCCAGTATCAGCTGTTGCGAGGCAATCACGAATGCAAAGGTATCAATCGTGTATATGGATTTTACGACGAATTCTTGACCGTTTTGCATAAGGCTCGTGTTGAGGTTTGCTTGATGAGACGTCCCTTCATTCGAATGCTTCAATTTCCCTTTCAGGATGAGGCTGAGAGGTTGTGGTTCGGCTTCAACGAGGTGTTTGCGTGGTTACCTCTGGCTGGTCTTGTTGGCAAAAAGATTCTTTGTATGCACGGTGGAATATCAGCTTACTTGAACTCACTCGAAGATATTCGGAAGGTATGCTCGCGGACTTAAAGACACACTCCGCGACAAGAAGACAGAGGATGAACTGGGCGGAGAGTCACTATCATAGTGCCTTCCTCACTGACGTAGCTCCTTGCCGTGCGCCAAAGCTGAGGAGGGTGCCGTTAAGGAAAGTAAAACGGATGTGGCGTGCCGCCTCTCTGACTGCGATCATGCTTTTACCAATTGTACAATCGTCACATTTCCCTTGTGATTTTCAGATTCAACGGCCCATGGACGAACCAAACAGTAATCCGCTTGCCATGGATCTCTTGTGGGCTGATCCGATGCTGAATATTCAAGG